TGTGTGTGTGTGTGTGTGTGTGTGTGTGTGTGTGTGTGTGTGTGTGTTTGCTTGTGCATTTGAGGTGTCTGGCTATTTCCCTGGTCCCCATATAAGAATTTTTTTTGTTTTCTTTTATTCCTTGAGACGAGATGTTTCTGCATAGCCCCAGCTGTCCTTGAACTATGTTCTCCAGTCTCCTTTAGTTCTTATCTCTGGCTCTTCCTTCTGCCGTTATTATCAAACCCAGGAAACTTCTCAGCAAACCCTAAAATTACAAGCTTCATAAGGAATTTGACTCGTATTACGAATTCTTCTGTTAAGTAGTTTCAACCTCTGGACTCTCGGCTGATTTTGAAAAGCTAATTTATCAGGTTTACACTCTACCTGCCTGTGAGCCAATGCCGTTTGGAAGCTAACCAGATTCATTAATGCTAGGAAAGGACGTGATTCGGATTTTTATAACACACACACACACACGACACAAACAGCTGGAGTAATTGTGCATTTATCTCCTTATAGGATTGCAGATTTGCATGCACATCGAGTGCGCATGTGTAGGTCTTCTGAACGTGCTTTCAATGACTGACTGGATGCAGACATCCAGAGTAAGTCAGAGCGTGCTTTGAGAGCGCCAAGCCTATAAAGAGTTGTGCGTTTTCCAAAGGCAGCTGCCTACGAAAGAATATTTATCTTTGTAACTAATGGAAGAATCATAGCTGCTTCCTCTCCTGTGAAAATTGCCACTTGAAATACCATGGCCTTATATGGGGTCTGCCCACAATTCTCGCAGGGCCTCCCGAGGTTGGGGTTGCCCGAAGAGTCGGTAATGATGCTGCAGCACTGTTTGTCTCACACGTTAATTTTTCACTCGTAAGCTCAGCTTTGATTGTGTTTTATTCCCTCTAGGAGGGCCAGTTACAGAAAAATATTTCGAATGTTTTGGAATCTGTTATCTCCATTTTCAGTGAATTCAGTCACTTCGGGTGGTAATAGTTTTGGATGTTCCCTTCTTTTTCATTCCTGTAACTAGACTTGCATTATTTAATTACCTATAAATTCTGGATTCTCCTGTCCTAAAGTAAGTGACCCTCCCGAGATTCTTAAAATGTTAAAGGCCCATGGGGAGGATGATGCTTCATTCCAAGAATGGACATTGGAAGCTGGGGCTTTAGACTAAATAACTCCTTCAGGGACTTACTTGAGATGGAAAGGGTGGACTCTGCAGTTCTGCTGTTGGCTGCTCTTCTGTTCTAGAAAGACAGCTCTGGTTTCGGGGCAAGCAGATTTTCTCTAAAAAAGGAGTGCTAATTGTCTCCTTCAGCTGAGATTCATTAAACTCAGCTATGACTTTGGTCTTTCAGAGAGTTAGAAAGTCTGGGTGATCTGCTAAGGAAGTAGAATTGTCTAAATCTCATACATATTCCAGCCCAAACTTTCTGTAAAACTTATTCATCTCTGGGCAGTGGTAGTGTATGAATGTAATCCCAGCACTCTGGAGGCAGAGGCAGGTGGATCTCTATGGGTTCCCGGACAGCCTGGTCTATAGAGCAAGTTTTAGGACAGCCAGGGCTATATGGAGAAACAATTTTGAAAAAACAAAAACAAACAACCCCCCCACACACACACCAACAACAACAGAAAAGCAAACTTAGTCTTGATATATGTTCCTACCTTTGTTTAAACTTTTAAAGAATTCAGAATATCTATTTGTGTTGCAGGCACATGCTAAAAAATAGTTATTCATATGGTTCTTAAAGACAGGGACCACTGCAATTGAGTGTTGTGGTTGAGTGACATTTGGCTTGGCTTTTTACACCCATTAATTTATTACTTATCATTTTACATCCCAATTACAGCCCCCTTCACCTCCCAGTCCCCCCCACCCTCCCCACATGCCCCATTCCCCTTCTCCCTTAGATAACAACTCTCCCTGGCTCACCAAGTCACTGCAGGACTGGGCACATCCTCTCCCACTGAGGCCAGACAAGGTAGCACAGCTAGGGAAACGGGACTCACAGACAAGAAACAGAGTTAAAGACAGCCCTTGCTCCAGCTGTTGGAGGACCCACATGAAGACCAAGCTGCACATCTGCTACATATGTGCAGGAAGGGGGATTACATCCAGCCCATGTATGTTCTTTGGTTGATGGTTCAGTCTCTGGGAGACCAAGTGTTCAGGTTAGTTGACTCTGTTGGTCTTCCTATGGAGTGTCTGCCTTCTATAGGTCCCTCAATCCTTTCCCCAACTCGTCCACAAGACTCCCCTCAGCTTCTAATACAAGGACAAGGAGATATTTAATGTAGGAAAGAGCATGTGTGTGTGTGTGTGTGTGTGTGTCTGTGTGTGTGTCTGTGTGTGTGGTGGGGGTCATTTGGTAAAAACTTACTTAGAGAAAATCTGTAAGTTAGGGGATTTATACTTGACCAACTTTACTTGGTTCTTGCTAAAGGTAAGTGAAGTAGGAAAAATTCCTCTTTCTATGGTCTCCACAGTCCAAGCTTCACTTCTGATACTGGACATGGGTATTCTCCACACTGACACCTGTTATAACATTCCTTTAATGTTTCCAAAGAAGGAAACACTGGAGTGATGTAAAAAAAAAAAAGTATGGGCATATGTGGTAAGTGGTAAAATGGTGAGTTGCCATCATGTGGAACACAAGAGCACACAAGATCACACAAAATTGAACACAAGATCACAGAGCCTCTCATCTCTGACAGTGAAGTCCGTGGCCATCCCGAAGTGATGCACCAGGGTGTGCAGAATGGCTATATTCTTGTTGGGATTTTTCATTTTTGCCTAACTTTGGTCTGAGTTTGATCACCCTCCCTTTGGTCTGTGTTCCCTTCAGGAAAGAGGCATTCACTGAAGCGCGGGGTGCCAGGAGGGGAGTGAAAAAAGTCATGGTTATTGTGACCGATGGAGAATCACATGACAACCACCGTCTGAAAAAGGTCATCCAAGATTGCGAGGATGAAAACATTCAGCGATTTTCCATAGCTGTAAGTACCTTGTTAGCAAGGGTTTGGAAACTCATGAGATAGGCATCATGCACCATGCAATAAACATTACCTCTTAGTTAGGAATAGTTGCTGAAATTTGAGAAGCCAGGTTCAGAAGTTATCTTTTATAATCATTAAGCCAATTGCGGTATTTCTGTAGTCCTTCTATCTGTCTGCATACGCTGTCCCAGGTTGTCACATTTCCCAGGTGTAAAACATAGAAGGGAATGGGAAGCAGGGTGTGGGAAGGGGCAGAGGACACTGTGGTGGGGACACAAAAACCTTTGTACAGATCCTTTGCTGCATATCATCTCTGGGATAGGCGAGCAAGTTCTTAATACTCCAAGCCTCAGTATCTTCCTCTGTGAGAGGATTGTGTTTTTTCTGTCAGTCTGTCTGCCTCTCTCACCACATGAAGACACCAATGGCCACAATAAACATCATCTCTGTCTCTCTCATCCTTTCAAGGCGTTCACAACCATGAGGTCTTAAGAGCCTTGTGTTTAAGAGATAAAAGGGATCTGGGTCTCCTCCATCCTTAGAAATGTTCAGAGAACTCCCCAGAGATTACATCTGGCCCTTCCTTTCAGCTGCCAATTCGTAGCCCTGCATGTGCCTTCAGTCTAGAGGCAGGCGTCTCTTATATCTGAAATCAACTGTTCTTTCATTCACTAAAATTGATTTAACTAATTGTCTCTTACAAGGAGAAAAGATTCAAAATGCTAAGAGCTCATCCTGAACTCTTTACAAACAATAATTATATATTGTCTGCATTAGTTTTCAACATGCAACCAATGAATTCACCCTTTTCTTTCAAATGCATGAATGATGTTAAGAAGTGGGAGGTGGGGGTTCATACACAGAAAAAAGTTCCAGGACATGATTGCCAGCTTCCTAGGGGCAAGGCACTCCAATTTATAAACAAGATGATCTGTTGCATAGAAGTTCATTTGCCAATTATTATCCATTCTCTATTACCTCTTCTGCTGCTACAGTGTCACTATTTTTGAATCCATGGTTGAGAATAATTTCAAATGCCCTTGCCTTCACTCAGGAAAATGTCCCAATAATGAGTGACATTTAGTCTATGGCCGGTCTCTTTCTTCAGTGTATAAAGTCAGAGTTTGCTCACTGATTCCGGACATCTGAGTATCAGAGATGATCTCATTTTTCTGCCTCCCCCAGAGGAACTAGTTGGCATTCCAAGTACCATGGATGCAGGTCATAAACAGTATTAGCCATCATCAGAATTAATAGTATCGGTGCTGAGGATGTAGTTCAGCCTAGATTGCACGCCTCCCTCGTGGGAGCACTTACAACTCAGCACAAGCACACAAAACCAACGTTAGGGAAGCTTCCCCAGAATGGCAATGTCAGTGCACAAGTTTTTAAGTGAATCCTGCATTTTGTATCATGTCTAGTGACATGGTCAGTTTTTCCTTATCTTAAGCTGCTTTGCTTGTTTGGAATCTGATTTGGTAGTCATGCATTGCCTCTCATCTAGTCAAAAGGAGATTTCAAAATCCCACTCATCTTCACGAAGAACCATATATTGATGTGTTTCCCATTTATCCAGTGAGTTATTATCAAACTTCTCTTGAAAGCTGTGTAAACCAAAAAAAAAAATTTCATTTAATGATAATCATTTATTATTTTTCCTAATTTGTGTCTCTTTTCCCTAGCATACCATGTTTATGTTAAAAGATGTTATTTGAGACCACACTACAGAACGAGACACGTGTGTTACTTTCTTTTGTTTGTGCAACAATACAGAAAGTCTTCAGGGATCTCAGAGTCCATTCGTGCTGAATGCATCCGCACAAATATAAACTCTACCTCAGTTGTTCTATGCACTATTCCTCTGCCTCAGTTGTTGCCTGGACTAATTCTACTCTGTCTGTTTCCCAGTATTTGATCCTGAGCAACACAGAAATGAGTTTTGACAGGAAACAGCTCCCTCAGAGAATTAAATATTGGTAATACAAATTCCCTATTTTAAAGATTCTAATATGTCCTGTTAAATTTTCATATTCGAAGAGGTCATGAGTTGACTTTTAGTCATCCATTTCAGTCAATGGAGAGTATTAGCCTGGTCCATCAGGCGTTGTTAGATATTCAGAGACTACGCTTAGATGATAATGGCTGAGAGGTGTAAATTACTTACTTCACTCAAATGTAGATGAGACATCCGTAAGGACCTTAGCATTCCATTTATGTTTCCAAATAAAAGACACGGTGCTGCACGTGAGTACACTGCATACTTTACTTTGACATCTCTGCCTCAAGGAGATCTCAGCTTTGAATGCTTCTTTCAGGTAGATATTAGTGGAGTTAAAATGCTTAGGGTCGACAGATTTGAGATGTATGAAGCACCAAACAAATTATTAGCTGCATTAAGTTTCTTATTTGTACCAGACCCTTGCATGGAAGATCCCAATAGGTTTCTGCTGGTGTTCTCATCTATGATATAAGATGGTTCAAGGTCATATGGGGGGGGGTCACAGTAACTCCTGCATCTGAGTATATTCTCCAACATTGTATTTACCTATCTTATTTTTATTTTTAAAATATACCATGTGGGTATTTTTCCTTAGATAAATCCACTTGCCTCCCTCCTGTCACAGGTACCAAAAATGTCTGAAAAAAAAATCACTTCCCAATTAACAACTTCAACTACGCATGCCCTAACGCTGAGCTATTAAATTTGTCTTATATATAGTTTGAATTTCATCAATTTTAGATGAAATGGGAGCTGGATGTGTCAACCTAGTAGTTAGTCTAGAACATACTAGGTAAGAAGCAAACAGGATTTTATTTATTTATTTTATTATCCCAGGATGTTATAAAAATCTATAGAACAAGTAAACCAGTAGGGAACTCAGAGGAATCCACATAGTTCTGAACTTAAGTGGCATGCAAGGTACCTCGTTAGCAGCTCCAGGTTTCCTTAGGCACATGATTTCCCAAGGCACCGGGCAGTCCTTCCTAGGTATCCATGTGTCGCTCAACATAAGTATATCAAACCTGTGAAAGAGCTAGGACGGACTGGGTCCCTGAGGTCTTAAAAGTGAAGAGGAGGGAGTTTGCTTGAAGTCCTCTGGTGTTGAAATGTGACATTTCCTCTGTGCTGGTCGGTGATGTTCCCCAGGGGAAGGGGCAAGCACATCGTGCAAGGCCTCCATGCGCCTTCTGACTGGAGCAGATTCAACTCATAATTCTCACATTAGCACTTAGTGTGCATCAGAGTGATTCAGCCAGAGCTTTCAACCAGTGCTCATAGTGGGAGACAAGTAAGGCTGTTGTGGGTCATAGGTCATAGGAAGAACTATGTAAATAGGAACTTGGGTTTTTTCCCCATTTTTTTCTAAGTATATATCTATATGTCTTATCAAAATATCATTCTGAAACCTACCTCAAACCTCACTTTAAAACCACATGTATATTCCTGAATAACCATGCCCAAATTGCACACTCATAATCCCTTGATCTTCTTCTTAAAACATTTTGTGGCATCAGTGTCTGTATATCTGAAAAATGAAATTTAATAATGGTTTACTGTTTTTTAACTTTATCGAATATAAAGGCTGCTGTGACGTATATAGTAATTAGAACTTTTAAGACATTTATGTTTATGTTGTGTGTTCTTACCATTCAGTTCCTTTTAAAAACTGGACTAACATTTCCATGCAGTGAAAAGCTTCTCAATGCAAAGGGTGACTTCAAAGTGCACATCATAAACATGCCTATTAACATCCTGTTCTGTCACTTCCAGAAAGTTCCCTGTGCTTTCTTCTCTTCTTATATGAACCCCCTATTGCAACCACTCCCATAACTTACTTAGGGTACTGATTCTAGATCCCATGGAAATGCTCACATATTGTGGATTCTTTTGTGTTTTGCTTTCTCTTCTCTTCTCTTCTCTTCTCTTCTCTTCTCTTCTCTTCTCTTCTCTTCTCTTCTCTTCTCTTCTCTTCTTCTCTTCTCTTCTCTTTTCTTTCCTTTTTTGTTTGGAGAGGAAAGAGTTTATTTCATCTTATATCTTACAGTACATTATGAATGGTAGTCAAGATAGGAAATCAAACATGAACTTGGAGGCAGGCACTGAAGAAAAGGTCACGAAGGAATAGAATTACTATCTTGTACAGACTGATTTCTTATTCCAGCTGTTCAGGGATGGCACTTGCAATAGTAAATCATCAATCAAGAAAATACTCAATGATCTTTTGCCTACTAGACAATCGGATGGAGATATTTTCTCAACTGAAGTTTCCTTTTACAGTTTGACTCCTGTTAGATTATTTTTGATTAAAAAGAAAAAAAACAAAGAACGAAAGGAAAGAAGGAGAGAAAGAAAGAAAGAAAGAAAGAAAGAAAGAAAGAAAGAAAGAAAGAAAAATTGTCTCAAAGAACCAGCTCCTAGTTTTGTCCATTCTTTGTATAGTTCTTTTTTGTTTCTACTTGGTTGATTTCAACCCAGAGTTTGATTATTTCCTGCCTTCTACTCCTCTTGAGTGTATTTGCTTCTTTTTGTTCTAGAGCTTTCAGGTATGCTGTCAAGTTGCTAGTGTATGCTCTCTCCAGTTTCTTTGCTGGGGGGCACTCAGAGCTATGAGTTTTCCTTTTAGCACTGCTTTCATTGTGTCCCATAAGTTTGGGTATGCTGTACCTTCATTTTCATTAAATTCTAAAAATTCTTTAAGTTCTTTCTTTATTTATTCCTTGACCAAGTTATCATTGAGTAGGATGTTATTCAGCTTCCATGTGTACATACAGAAAACATACCTCAGTGTCAAAGACAGACACTGCCTCAGAGTAAAGGGCTGGAAAACAACTTTCCAAGCAAATGGTCCCAAGAAACAAGCTGGTAGCCATTCTAATTCCTAACTTTCAACCAAAAGTTATCAAAAAAGACAAGGACACTTCATACACATCAGAGGAAAAATCTACCAAGAAGAACTCTCAATTCTGAAATCTGTGCTCCAAATGCAAGGGCATCCACATTCATAAAAGAAACCTTACTAAAGCTCAATGCATACATTGTGCTACACACAATAATAGTGGGAGACTTCAACACCCCACTCTCATCAATGGACAGATCATAGAAACAGAAACTAAGCAGAAACACCTGTAAAACTAACAGAAATGACCAATCAAATTGATTTAACAGATATCTATAGACCATTTCATCCTAAAACAAAAGAACATACCTTCTTCTCAGCACCTCATGGTACCTTCTCCAAAATTGACCATATAATTGGTCACAAAACAGGCCTCAACAGATACAAGAAAATTGAAATAATCCCATGCATCCTATCAGATCACCAGGGACTAAGGCTGGTCTTTAATAACAACAAAAACAACAGCAAGCCCACATATATGTGTTTTGTTTTTCATGCAAGATTACCCATGCGTTTTTTCATCCTGCTGTTCCTTATATTTATTATGCTATCCATTTTAGGAATCAACCATCACCTATGCACCTTCATTTACAGGCATTTAAGTTGCTCTCAGTTTGTGACAGTATAATAAGGGAGGCATGAATATTTCAAAGTGAGAACTAATAATCTTCAAATGTCACTTGTAATGAAATAATGACTAAGCATGTTTTATTACAAGAGGAATATCTTCAGTATGAAAGAAAGTCTTTAAATATTTGGAGGCAATAGTCCTGCAGTGACTTGATGTGCCAAGATAAATTGGTATCCTGTAGGGGCCTCCTCCTTCTCAAAAGAGAAGGGGAAGGGAGAAGGGGAGGGGCTATGTGAGGGGGCACTAGGAGGGAAGGGAGCAGTGATCAGGATGTAAAGTAAAGTAAATAAATAAATAAATGGAAAAATATATATGCAGGCAAATCAAGAATGGAAATATACCATTAGCACAAATAAAATAATTCGTATTAGCAGGAATAAAATAATTGTGGTACTAAATTGTTTGATTCTCTTTACTGATACTGACACTGCTCTGCAATTTTTAAAGTATAAAATTAGATCATATCTTTGTGTTGGGGATTTTTAGTTTAAATTTTACATATTATTGTAAACATGGACATTTTCACACAGGGAAAATTGTACATGCCTTAAAGAAGAAACATGACTAGGTGACCTCATGGAAGTTTACAAGTTCTCATAGAAAATAAAATGAACATAAAAGACTTGGTTCCAGAGCATACAGAGAACTTTCATGAGTCTTTAGGAAAAATGCATGTGTGTACATGTGTGCATGCATACACATATAGCACATACATGTACACAAACAACTGCCATTAGCTCCAGCTTCAGGTAGACTTCACCTCTCTGGCCTCCAAGGAAATTTGCACTCAGGTACACACACGCCTCAGACACAAACACACATAATGAAAAATAAGATAAATATTTGCAGGGGTCAATAATTTGAAAACCATGTACTCAGGAAGCTTCCATAAATATTCCCATAAGTACATAACAATACTCTGTCATAAGATATCATGTGTGCTCTTGTTTACTGAAAATATGCTTGAGATACTTATTTAACGTACAGAAGTTAAAATACGTTCTTGCCATTTTTGGTCTGCCCTAGATCCTTGGTCACTATAACAGGGGGAACTTAAACAGTGAAAAATTTGTGGAGGAGATAAAGTCGATTGCAAGCGAGCCCACGGAAAAGCACTTCTTCAATGTCTCAGATGAGTTGGCCCTGGTCACTATTGTTAAATCTCTGGGAGAAAGGATATTTGCCTTGGAAGGTATGATTGTCTCTCCTTATCCTGCGTATCCTTTGTAAGATTCAAACTTAATGTAATGAGGTTGGGATATTCTTCTCAGCACATTGTTAACTCATTTGTACTGTGTTCAGTAGCCATTAGGGAATAATTCTCTTTTATATGAATGGAACTACTTTACCCAAACCTATGTCGGCTAGAAGCCGACTTTGTTAGGCAGTGACGGTGCACAAGAGGAACACAGCAGTCAGCATGGATGTGTGCAGGAACCCAAATGTCCCAGCATGCCTTCTTCCTTTTCTGTGACACAGGTTTAGAATGTGAAGCCACTAGCTCGGCTTTGATTTTTGATTTTCTCACTGTGTCTTTGTTCCTTGGGGTGGCTACAAGAGTGTCCTGATGCAATTGCTTCTTTGTTCATTTCCTCTGTAATTTGCTCTGGCGCATTTCTAAAGATCTTCCGTGGAGTTTTGCCTCAAGTCCTTTGGCTGCAGTACTTCATCCTCTATGGTTGTCTAACCATGTCACGCCTCTGAAGAGTTTTCCTTTGACTTTATCTGTGGTAACTGGCTGTGGAGGCTACTGAGCGATGCTAGTCCCTTAGGTGGGAGTGTCAAGTAACAAATGACTAATCTTCTCTGACTGGTAACATCTTTTTCACATTTTTGAAGGCTGGAGACTCAGAAGTCACACCCCAGATCCCCACTTGGAGAAACCACATTGAATTCGTTTGCCCTTCTGGGGGGGGGGGGCATCTTTGTTCCACTGACTGTCTTCAGGAGGGAACTATCAAAGTGTTGCTTCTGTAGCTATTAAAAGCTTTTTCAAATTTCCCAGCAGAACCTGTTAATAACAAATGAAAGACAATATGGGGATGAGACTTGACTTTTAAAAGGGTAGATTATTTTGAGTGAGTATATGAGTTACAATGAGCAAGAAAAATATAGAGAAAAATACTTGTGTATATGTGTGTGCGTGTGCTCGTGTGCATGTGTGCGTGTGTGTGTGTATGTGTGTGTAACTGAACCCAGGCTCTTACATATGTCCGACAACTGCTCTACAACTTCACTATATCTCCAGTTCAAGACAGTGATGGAAAGCGACAGTTTTCAGTATTTCTTGAGTAGCCCATGCTCACTAACGTTTTGCTTTGCAGCCAAGCGCACACATATACATGCATATAAAAAGAAAGTCATCTCAGAATGACTCATGCTAGGGCTGCTATATTCTTCATTTCCTCTGTGCAGCTCTCATCTCTTCCTGCTTGTGCGATTCTCTTTCAGTGAAAATGATACTGGTTTTACTCACCCTTTCAAGTCCGAGTCACAGTCAGTGCTCAGGAGCTTGGTTAGTTTGGGGGATGATGAGGACTGAGAGTCCAGGCAGAAGCAACTTCTCTGGCCCCCTTTTTTTCTGCTATGCCTCCAGAGATAGAGCACTTGAGTCCTTATCAGTGTAAAGTCATAGCAGTGTCTGAATGGCTCAGCTGTCCTGCGATCTGAGCACACATCTCTGTCACATGACTTTGGTCTTTCAATAGCCATTGGGATGCTATTTAGCACTAGGCCAGGCCATGTTTGCCTAGATTTAATACGGACAGGCTTCCAAATCATTGTCCCCTTTTAACTTTTAATAACACAGGCCAAGAAATAATCTATAAAGAGTTGTGTCTTTTTTTAATTAATTTATTTTTATTGGATGCTTTATTTATTTACATTTCAAATGTTAGCCCCTTTCCCAGTTTCCCTTCCACAACCCCCCTATCCCATCCCTCTCCCCCTGCTTCTATGAGGGTGCTCCTACTCCTGCACCACCCTAGCATTCCCCTACACTGGGGCATCGAGCCTTCACAGGACCAAGGCCCTCTTCTCCCATTGATGCCTGACAAGGCCATCCTCTGCTACATATGCAGCTGGAGCCATGGGTCCCTCCACGTGTACTCTTTGGTTGGTGCTTTAGTCCCTGGGAGCTCTGGTGGATCTAGTTGGTTGATATTGTTGTTCTTTCTACGGGGTTGCAAACCCCTTAAGCTCCTTCAGTTCTTCCCCTAACTCCTCCATTGGGGTCCCCACACTCAGTCCAATGGTTGGCTGCAAATATCCACATCTATATTAGTCAGGCTCTGGCAGAGCCTCTCAGGACACAGCTGTATCAGGCTCCTGTCAGCAAGCACTTCTTGGCATCAGCAAGAGTGTCTGGGTTTGGTGTCTGCATATGGGATGGATACCCAGGTGGGGCAGTCTCTGGATGACCTTTCTTTCTGTCTCTGCACCACACTTTGTCTCTGTATTTCTTTTAGACATTTTTGAGACTATAATTATAGTGTTTCTCCTTTTTTTTTTCTGCCCTCCAGGTCCTCTCATGTAACCCTCCCTGGTTTCCTTCAAATTCATGCTCCTTTTTCATTGATTGTTGTTATGTGTGTGCATATGTGTGTGTGTGTGTGTGTGTGTGTATGTATGTATGTATGTATGTATGTATGTATGTATGTATATGCATGTGTGTGCGTGCATATATATCATATAGATTTTTAAATATAACCTGTTTGGTTTGTATACTTGTATGAGTTGGATTTTCTGTAATAACCATTACACTAGTCAGTTAAATACCATAAGTATCATTTCTTAATATTCTCTAAGTAAGGAAGCAAATATAACCTACAATTGGCCAAATGCAGCCACATTGTAGGGAATATGGTTTATTTTGCCTGAAATGGCATTTTAAGATTTTTTTCTAACCTAACCTAACCCCAGTTGAAGCTTCTTACTAAAATGTCCAAATGCTTCAAGAAATTTCCATATCTAAATATGATATTATTTTATAAAACTTTCCAAAGATTAAGATACCTTTCTACATCTTACTGCTGCATTATCAAGGCTAAAAGCCATGCAGGTTGTCTGCTGTTTCTGTTTTCAAGGCAAGGATCTGCTGGCTTTGGGCTTCCACTTTGGCCTCCCAGGGGCTGGCACCAAAGGGCAGTGAGCTCAGTACATTTGCCCTTACAATTTTCATAATGAGATCAGAAAAGGCTTTTCCCCAGTTGTTTGGGAAATCTTCACTTCCTCTCGCTATTTATTTTATATGGTAAATAGCTGCAGTTAGGAAAGTCTGCCTTGCAAAGTACAATGCCACCTAGTGAGTCAAGCATGCTCAGGTGTGGACTAAACAGGTCAGGGAATGGCATGGATTTCCCTTTTTCAATCAACTTTGGGGAAAAGGTTAACACTCCTAACTGAAAACAGTGTAAGGGTTGGAGTGGGTGGTTTACTCTCCGTGAGCCTGTCTGTCAGGGTTGAAAGTAAGAAACTTGGCATAGGACCTCGGACCGTGTGGAAAGCTATGTAGCTCCTTTCTCTGTCCTCAACTGAAAGCACAGCATCAGAAAAGAGTGGTGGATGCTGATATGTACTACTCTGTTTTTTGCTATCGGTCTTGCAAAAATAAGCATGGATGTAGTTTAAGTCATTATGCACCAAAAACACAATTTAAGGTAAAAATGCATCTTAATCATTTAAAGGAAAATTCGTATAAGAGATTGAAATGAAACATTCAGACTCCTGATTGATTGTCACACTTAATCTAGCCCTATAAAAACTCAATTACAGATGCATTCTTTATACTTCCATTCCAGTAAGTAAATAGTAAACCTGCTTAATTTCAGAAATCTAATGATTTTCATGCTTCAATTGACAGACAGGCTGACTTGGCTAAAAATTATGTTATTTTTAACTGATTTTTAATGCCAAATAAACTAGTCACTCCCTGGAAGCAAGTAGATCAACATTCGCTCAGTTCCCCCAGGAAGCTGTGGCTTCTGGTCTGTAAATATTTTGAGAAGACTGCAGCTCTAATCAATGTTCCTCCTTGTCCACACTTTAGCCATGAGCTTCAAAACTGGGCTTTTAAAAATCTAAGATTCCTTTAAAAAATATAGATTCAGATGGGACACAAACTGGGGCTATGTGAGAAAGTCACCTCCTGAGGTGAATGAGCCCCACATCCAGCATTCAAACCAACAAGAGCTGGAATCCTTAATGCTATCACACCATGTACCTAGAAAGGATGTGTGGCCAAGAGTGTTTGTAGGGGAACTATTGAGTTGGGAATCTCTTTAAATACATGGTGAAGGGTTTTTTCAGCATATAAGGTATCAAATTTAGCTCTGATGGGGTTCCCAGGTCAAGTAGACAAGACACTTAATTTCTACTGTTGTAATTCTGTCTTTCAAAGCCATGAGACCATGGAATCATAGGCAGCAATAGCATAGAGCTTACAGACAAGCTGACTTGCTAAAATTATATGTTATTTTAAACTTATTTTTATGACCAAAAAAACTTCCTGCAAGCAAGTAGACCAACATTCCCTTAGCAATAGGACAGGAAGCCAATGTGTCAGAATGGGAGAAAAGAGTCCCTTCACTAACCACTGTCCTACATTCAGCCCTGCCTAGGAGTTTTGCTTGAGAAGTACATGACTGAGAGTTCTCTAATATGTCCCATAGTTCCACTTAGGATGTCTCCAGGTTCCAGCAGGTCAATAGCAGCCTCAAAGGCATTGTTACTCACTTACTGTGGTACCTTTACTGTATTTACAGCTACAGCTGACCAGTCAGCAGCTTCATTTGAAATGGAAATGTCTCAGACCGGCTTTAGTGCTCATTATTCAGAGGTATGTTGGCCATGCGCTAGAAAGAAATACCTTTCCTACAAGTTTTCCTCTCCCAAGAAACGCCCAGGCATCAAATGCATAAGATGGCCTTGACATTTATGGTGGGAAAGTGGCATCCTGCAAGCTTCTTACTGGGAGCCTTCTCCACACACTCCTACATTTTACCAATTGATAGACGTGAGCAAGACCATCTGAGACCTGCTGAGTGTATCTGTGTATCTAATGAAATGAAATGATTGCGATATTTGTTTAAAATCTAGAAGGTTAGTGTTGTGTTATGCTAAAAGTCCTTAAAACACTAAGATGTAGGTTTGTTTGGTTATTTCATTAGTTTTTGTTCTGTTTTGTACCCAGAAACGTGTAGGAAGGCAAGAAGAGAAGACCCATAGTCATGATACAGAGATATGGACATTTCAGCGTAGCAGTTACATAGTGTTCCCTAGCTTCCTTTTTCAATAAAATGGAAATCGTAATATTAGGTTCTTATGAATAGAGCTATTGTCAGGACTAAATGAATTAATTTATATAAAGCACTTTGAACTATATTCATAAACAGATGAATTATGATCATGTTACTAATGCTATATATAAGTGTTTGCCCATATCATTTTATTGCCCTCTGTACTCACACATTAGGACTGGGTCATGCTTGGAGCAGTGGGAGCCTTTGACTGGAATGGAACTGTGGTCATGCAGAAGGCTAACCAGATTGTCATCCCTCAAAACACCACCTTTCAAACTGAGCCCACCAAGATGAATGAGCCTCTTGCTTCTTACTTAGGTAAGGCTTGGGTGCGACCTTGATGCTTACACTAGTCTTCATTTTTCTGTACCAAAACACCTGATTCTGGGATACTTGGAAAGCAGCCACAAATACTGAGTGTCTATGTTGGTCCAAATATATTAGACAAATTAAAAATAGCAAAATGGATGAGGGAGAACAATTGGCATTGTTTTAGATGAGAAACAATGAAGAAATGAGCAATCTCTCTTGGAGGGCAATGGGCTAAGACTGAGAAATGGCAGAAGACAAAAAGGAGGCGGAGGGAGTTAACTCACCTTCAAAAGTTCCTCGTAAACTAAGATTCTCCGAGATCATTATATGTAAAAATACCTCAGGATCAAGAACTAGTCTTATCTAAACTTTCTTTCTGTCTTAGATAGAACAATTATAGGATATTCACTTTCAAATATAATGTCATTTTATAATTCCTATGAAAGTTAGGTCATCATGTGTTTAAAGAGCCATAGAAAGGATCACACTATGTTCAGAAATTCATCTTAGCCTAAAAACAAAAAAATCTAATGTCCATGCCCTAATCCCTGAACCTATTAATGTGTTACCTTATAAGGCAGAAAGGACTTTTAGACTGGAACTACATGAAGGATCCTGACGTAGACTGTGCTCGGATATATTGCCATAGTCCAATATAATCAATCAAGTGATATAATCAGCAAAGTCTTTCCTAGATGGGTTTAGAGGGAGATAGAACTATATGTAGATGGTCAGAGAGATACAGTGCTGCTGCCAATGAAGAAGGATGAGGTGGAAACAGACATCATCCCTGTCACAAAGGACAAAGAAGTGTAATCTCTCCACAGCCTCCAGACAGGAGTATAGCCCTGCCTGCCTCTCACTATAGTCTAGGGTGAGCTATGGAGGACTTCTAGCTTACAGAATTGCAAACTAAGACATTTGGAGTGGATAGTATAAGCCATCAAATTTATCATACTTAGTTATAGCATCAGTAGACAACCAACACAGGTTTGTTAAATATTATTTCTGTTGAAAACATTGATCCTATTGCTACTAGCTGTTTAGACAGTTAAAGACTGAATGAAGAACACAGAGGTATTTGACACAACCACTACTCTTTCCATAGTCTCTTATTCTAATTATTACTTTAACAAGGCAGTATTTTTGGTATTCTGGGTTAGGATTCTATGACCAAGTTCTTTAAACAAACCAAGTGCTAAGTCTGCTATTCCTTAAAGTTCAAGTTAATTGTTGACTAAAGCATACTTAAATAGTTTAAAACTTAAAGGCTACACTTTACATGAGAAAACATTAAAATAATTATCATTTACAATTCAATGAAACGGGAAAAATTACTAGTTGATAATGATTATACACAAATATATGTAAATAGATGTGCATTTTTATGGCTCCTCTATGCTTAGGAAAGGAAGAGATTTGCACATGCACTCTATAGTATACTAATGTATTTTTTGCTCATTTCATTACCTTAGTCAGAAGTTAAGATATAAGCTATTTGCCAACAGACATCTAGTAGATGTAAGATGTCTTTCATGTACTTCCCCTAACCTACCCTCAAATATTTTCAAATATGTCATTGTGATGATTATAAAATTACAAAGAGACTGAGTTTACTGTTCTTTAATCTGGGTGGAAGGCAGCTAGTTGGGCCGTGTTAAGTCTTCTGAAGGGGGCAAAGTGAGAGAGGAACACTATGAAAATGCCTGTGCTAATCAATGAGAAGGAGGAAGTGTGAAACGAAGCATGGGAATCTCAGGATCAAGTCACCCCCCCATTTCCATATCACCCCCTAATCCCGCCTCAATATGTGCTTAGCTAGAGGGTTTGGGGATGAGAATCTGGGTGAGCCTGCACTCCCCTTTCTCTCATCCATGTTTTGCTGTGTTCTAATCATGCCTGACAAACTGAAAGAAACAAGAAGGGTGGCAAAGTTATGCAATGAAACTAAGTCACACATTTCCTACTCCATCACCAAACCTCATGCTTCTTCCAAGATGTTCAGAGACTAGACAATACTCTTTCCTTATAAAGATGGTCTAAAAACAGTTGGAAGTATTCATAAAAGGATAACATGCCTCACAGATTGTCTTTCCTCAGCATTTATATAAACATGTTATCTGTACAAAAGTAGAATTATCACTTTATAGCAAAATATTGCTTAAATTAACAATATGATCTCTTCCAGTTAGTTCTCTGTGATGTCCTGGACTCCTCTCTGTCTTCTACTCCAGTAACAAGCTGCTTCCAGCTATTAGAGCATTGCTTCCTTCTGCAGACCCCAAGCCTATGTATAGTGAGAGTTACCCAATGATTTAGCTCCATTTGCTGCAGATAAAAAATACAGAATTTTTCCTCAAATAATAATAATCTGACTTAAAGCCAGATACTAGCTCTCTTAACTGGCAGAACTCACGTCAAGATGGTTGGCTGTGCATTTGAACTAGAAGTCCCCAAAGAATCCTGAGTATCAAGATACTCAAAATATTTAATAACATCTGAGAAACTTCCCAGGCTCTCAAGGCTGTGTGTATCTGAAAACCCTCCACGAATCTGAATGGTGACTTCTATCTAGAAGAGATCCTTCTGTCTCTGCAGTGATGGACTTGTAGGTGTGCTAAAGACCTTGGAAACAGGGTGATTCCCAACAAGAGTGCAGAAATTTAGCCGCACATGTGCAAAAATATATAAAGTAATGCCAGACTTCTGAGTATTCCCTGGTTGATGAGCTAAATCAACAGAGGCACCTGAGGTTATTGTGTGCTCATCTACTGGGCACATGAAAGCACAGGGCTCATTCATGATCAGACCCTCCCGTGCATTAGCTCTTGTCACAACTACATGATTCTGACCGACATAGAACACAGTGTGCCCTTAAACCTTAAGTGGAAGTGGTGTGGAAGAAAAAGGAAAATGAAAAACCAAATCTCACAGCTCATGAGAAAAGCCAGCGTAAAATACATTTAAATGGAAGTAAAGTAGGCAAAAAGAAAACAAGATTTCACAGAGCATAAAACATGGGATGGGTAGGTGAGAAAAAAATCTCTGTTTTTTTTTAATTAAAAAAAAGACAAAATCACAGCAAACCATTGTTGTTAGATAACTTAACAACCATCAAAGCATCTGCAGATATGATTCTGAACTAATCATAGCTCTCAAATGCTATGATTTCAATGCTTTCAAAGGTTTAATGAAACCAAATCTCTCTCAAACAGCTGTTCATAGAGTAACATTAGTATGAATAGTCTGGCAGCCACTTACCTGACAATGTGACAAAGAAGACAAAATTGATCCAGTAATCTGTTACTTGACATGTATTGTCAAAAATATTCAAAGGAAGGAAAAAATGTCTTCAAAATGGCTTTTGTCATCAAAAAATGCTAAAAAACGAACAAAAAAATAATGGAACCCACCAAAATTCCATTATTCCATTAATAAGTGGCCAGGAAGTAAATGCAGTCCCTTTATGATACAACACAGACAAACAACCTTCAACCATATAAAACTGCAGCTTAAAACCTTGGGTAACAATGCAGGTAGGGGTTAAGTCTTCTGTTATCCAGAAATAATTATTAGTGTAAGCCAGGCCTGGTGGTGCACACCTCTTATCCCAGCACTAAGGAGGCAGAGGCAGGTGCATCTTTGTGTGTTTGAGGCCAGCCTGATCTACAGAGCCAGTTCCAGGATACGCAGGCTCTCTACAGAAAGTCTTGAAAAAGAAACAAAACCAACAAACCAAACAAATAAAAACCTATTAGTGTTGATAGTGCAGACACTTGTATTTAAATTAAATAGAATTAATTTGATCCACAGTGGTTTTCAGGTGGGCATGACTGTGCATGACTGCACATAATTGCATGTAGTGACCCTCTTCCCCCTTTTCTGTCATCATTCTGTCAGACATTCTGTCTGATCTACCATTTATATCACTAAACAATGAAAAACTGTTTGGAGAAATTATCACTTCAGAGTTGTTCAGTTGTGGTGGAAACAGGGATCACAGTAATGGCGTTTCACCAACACAATACAAGAAAATACAAAATGATTAGTACAACCATTTAAAGCAATTCTATTATTACATAGGCCATTATGGGTCCAGGTACACATCTTGGATTTCTCTTTGGTTAGGTTACACAGTGAACTCCGCCACAGTGCCTGGAGATGTGCTCTATATCGCTGGGCAGCCTCGGTACAATCATACAGGCCAGGTCATCATCTACAAGATGGAGGATAAGAACGTCAACATTCTGCAGACACTCAGTGGAGAGCAGGTAAACTTGAAATGAACCATTCTGTGTCATCTCTGTGTACTCTGGTTATCTTTTGACTAAAGTTTTTTTAAAGCCCCAGATATCCAAGATCAATTGTGAAGATGGATTTCTATTTGATCCTTTGGAGGGATGTGACCTAGCAGTATCTTTGATGTCCAAAGCATTTCTTTTGGCAGGAGGTAGAGATAGATAAGTCTAGCCACTAGGTGTCTCATGCAGTTATATTCAGTATGTATAAAGAGTATTAAGATCTAAACCATCATGAAGCATAAAAGTGCCAATTGAGTTGATGGTGCATTCAGAAGATAGACAGGTAGCTTTAGGTTATGATTGGCACAGAAAGCTCACATGAGATAAACACTGCTGACTTTAAAAGGAGAGATAGGATGTAGATAGTAACTTCTTTAGTCTTTGAAAGACTAAACTGTGTCAAATTTTAAATGGTCAACACAAAACATCACATCATGCTAGAAGGAATGAGAAATTGCATGCAACGTATAAAATTGAAAAATTCTTTAAAATATCCTTAAATATTAAAAAAAATGTTTAGGAAACTATACATACAGTAGGCAAATGTCAATACTTACAGTGTTTTAGACTGAGAAATATGTCTAACTAATCTATTCAGTGGTTAGTTTTGAACAGTAATTTGAGTGATTTTGCTCTTTATTTTTCATAGTTTCATGGGTTTTCTGACTATTCCACAGTGAGAGTTCATTAACTTCATCTCACCACTTACAAGGATGTGATAAGCAGGATTTGTTCAGCCTTTGGTAGGCAGGGCTAAGAGAGAGACCTCCCCCCTCTGTGGAAGTCCTGGCTGCAGCCATCATTACCTACAGTCAAGGTATCAGTAGAATCATTCTGAGTAGGTCTACAGGCAGCCCTAGTGCTACAACCCTGAGTCAGAAGAACAGTGTCCTTTATGATAGCATAGCCATAACCCACAGGGGCTCTGCAAAGAAGCCCCATTAAGTACACAGAGTTCACTTCCAATTCCACCCAGCCTGAATGTCACATTCTAATCAATGTTATTTTCACCCACATCAGCATCACTCAGCAGACTCTGAGGAATCTGAGTGGTTAGAGGTAATCTCTCATGCTCAGGTTAAAGCATTTTTATTAACTCAGCCATACGTACTAATTCATATTTACTAAACTCACTAAATCTCATAAACTCATCAACAGTAAAAAAAGACTACAGTTGTAGCTCAAAGGCGACATACAAAGACCCTAAAATGGTCAATTAATACTATGAAATTGAAAGGGAAGAGGTAAAAGAGATGGAAGTCAATGAGTGTAGGAGAAGCTGAATAGGAAAAAATGGTATTTTGTTGTTCTTGACAACTCAAGTATGTTAGCACTCTGAAGATGTCTGCAAGTATAGGGGAATGTAAAAATGGTAAAATAAACATTCTTATGCAAGTAAGACAATGTCAGATGACTTTTTAAAAGCAATGATTTCTGTTTCAAGCCTGGGATTCTGAAAAAAAAAAGACAAAAAAAGTCCAAACAAACCAAAAAACAAACAACAAAAAAACAAAAAAGGTTGCTCCGTGATTAGAAGGTCAACCATTCATGAAGTTATGGTGATTCAAGAACATTACTATACTTAGACATGTTCCCTGTGACAACACAAATTCTAATGACAAAAGCTGCTGGGGCTGAGATTGAAGAAGGGGAAACTGTGGACCTGGGCAGCTCATGAACTCACACTCAGCTCCCAAAGACCACGGACACTAGGAATGAATGTCCAAGGGAGTGAGGACTTACAGTCATTTGTTATTATTATTATTATTAATAACTAGTTTAAATTTTTAAAAAAATTTAAATCTTTCAAATGTCTGTGGAAATGGTACCTTAAAGAGTCACTGAAAGAACATTAAAAAAAAATGCATCCTCACATTCATGTTCAGTCATTTCTAGAAACAGCCAGGAACCTGAGGATCAGAGACAATCAGTGTGCAGTAGCAAAGTAGTGGAAGCATTGCAGAAGCATCTTCATCAAGCCGAGGAGAATCCACCGAAAGCACAGGTCTGCCCTTTAGGACAGGATATGGTGTAGGGGGTGAGAAGAGAGGAAGGAGCTCCCAGGGGTGGAAAACAAGTGCTGTCTATGGTAAACATGGTAGCTTACACCTATAATCCTAGTGGTCTGAGGTTGAGACAGGAGACTTGCCACAAGTCCAAGAACAACCTGGGCTACAGAAAAAGACCTTGTCTCAATCCCTCACATACCACCCCAAAAAAAATGTTATATATGGCACAGATGCAGAATTATAAGCACAGAGATAAAAATATGCCTACACAGGAATACTGTAAGAGAAACATTAAGAATCTGAAGTATTTGATGCAGGCCAATACATGAAAAGAGCTTTAGGCATTTAGATAGTATAATGCCAGTTCTTTGCTTAAAAAGAGTCTTTTTCTTTAAAATGCTGTTCAAGAGGAGAGCCCCTGCAATCTTTTCCTATTTTTCTATCCCTTGCAGTTGCTGGACCACAACTTAACCAATATATATAATTTGTTTATTATTATTTAATCCTTTTTTACAGTCTAGACTTCATCCCCCTCCCAATCTGTCCCCGACCCCTCCCCATCCCATACCTTCTCCCCCTTGTCTCCAAGAAGATGTCCCCACTCCCAGATCGCCACCCCACCAAACCTCCCCACTCCCTGGGGCCTCGAGTCTCTTGAGGGTTAGGTGCATCTTCTCTCACTAAGCCCAGACCAGGCAGTCCTCTGCTGTATATGTGTTGGGGCCTCATATCAGCTTGTATACTGTATACTGTACACTGCCTGGTAGGTGGCTCAGTATCTGAAAGATCTCGGGGGTCCAGGTCAGTTGAGACTGCTGGTCTTCCCATGGGGCTCCCCTCCTCCTCAGCATCTTCCAGCTTTTCTCCAATTCAACCACAGGGGTCCCTGGCTTCTGTCCATTGGTTGGGTGCTAGTATCGACATCTGACTCTTTCAGCTGCTTGTTGGGACTCTCAGAGGGCAGCCATGCTAGGCTCCTGTCTGCAAGCACACCATAGCATCAGTAACAGTGTCAGGCCCTAGGGCCTCCTCTTGAGATGGATCCCAATTTGGGCCTGTCACTGGACCTCTTTTCTTTCATTCTCTTCTCCATCTTTATCTCTGTAGTTCCTTCAGACAGGAACAATTCTGGGTCAGAGCTTTTGACTATGGGACAGCAACCCCATCCTTCCAATTGATATCCTGTCCCTCCACTGAAGGTGGACTCTACACAACTCTCCACTGTAGAGCATTTCATCCAAGGACTCTCTTTGAGTCCTGAGAGTCTCTCACCTCCCAAGTCTGTGGTACTTTCCAGAGGGTTCCCCACTAACCCCCCCACCTCCTGATGTTGCCTGTTTCCATTCAGTCTGCTGGCCCTCAGGGCTTCAGTCTTGTTCCCCCCTCCAATACCTGACCCTGTTTCCCCCTTCCCCTCCCTGTTCCCTCTCCCACCCCAGTCCTTCCCTCTTTCTGTCCCCCATGATTGCTTTCTTCTCCCTCCCAAGTGGGATTGAGGCATCCTCACTTGGGCCCTTTGACTTGTTAACCTTCTTGAGTTCTATGGATTGTATCTTGTATTCTGTATTTTTTGGCTAATATCCACTTATTAGTGAGTACATACCATGCATGTCCTTTTAGGTCTGAGTTACCTCACTCAGGATGATATTTTCTAGTTCCATTCATTTGCCTGCAAAACTCATTATGCCCTCATTCTTAATAGCTGAGTAGTATTCCATTCTGTAAATGAACCACATTTTCTGTATCCATTCTTCCATTGTAGGAAATCTGGGTTGTTTCCAGCTTCTGGCTATCACAAATAAGGCCACTATGAACATAGTAGAACACATGCCCCTGTGGCCTGGTGGGGCATCTTTTGGGTATATGCCTAAGAGTGGTCTTCAGGTAGATCTATTTCCAATTTTCTGAGGAACCTCCAGATTGATTTCCAGAGTGGTTGTACCAGTTGGCAATCCCACCAGCAATGGAGGAGTGATCCTCTTTCTCCACATCCTCACCAACATATGTTGTTACCTGAGTTTTTGATCTTAACCATTCTGATTGGTGTGATGTCTCTTAACTCCTAGACTGAAATCTTCCCCTCCCCCTTGTCTTTCTCAAAATTAAGACAACTTAATCCTTCAGTCTAGAGAAGACTTGGTTTGCACAATTTTCTGTGTTTCATTGCCTTTGACACCAGCCCTCACATCCTCTTCTAGACTGGGACGATTATTAGATCCTCAGAGTTCCTCTTCCGAAAGTGCTTTGGAGAACTCACCCTGCTTGTTGTTTTGTTTTGTGTTCTAGATCGGTTCCTACTTTGGTAGCGTCTTAACCACAATTGACATTGACAAAGATTCTTACACTGACCTGCTTCTCATCGGGGCCCCCATGTACATGGGGACAGAGAAAGAGGAACAGGGCAAGGTGTACGTGTACACTGTGAATCAGGTAATATCATTTGAGGTTGGTGAATCTGGAAAATGCCTTACTTCCCCTTAGTTCCACTACTGTAGCTCAACTGTTTTTCACTCTCATTGTAGGTAGAAAAAAAAAATAAAAAGATCTAAGAAGTTTGCTAGGCCCATTCAATTTCACAGTTTCAAAAGGAACACTTAGAATCCAAGTTAACTACTTTCAGACCTTAATACTGTTTTGGTAGAACATATGAAATATGTTTTTTTGTTTCTGTTGTTACTACAGAATTTTGTTTTGTTCTTTTTATTTTACCGGGATATGAAGGATAAGTAACACAAATGCAAATAACACTCATGTGGTAAACATCCTACTCATAGCCTATTTATGAACTCCAGCCTGCATAGGTTGAGGGGCATCCACGGTTACCATGGCAATAATAGCCAGAAGCAACTTAATAGCAATGATATCAGGCCCTTCCTGGGAGACACAGTGGGTTTTGGAACTCGTAGCCAGGTGGAGAGAGATTCGTATTTCATTCCTAATTTTAGACATCATTAACTGTGTGAAGCAATATTTACCTTACTAATTAAAAAGATATTTGCAATTTATAGACAGGTCATAGACCAGGTTTGTGTCACTGTGTTTCTGTTTGCTTGTTTGTTTTGGTTTAAATTTTCTTGCATACTAATTATTTTAAATCATAGATTGCATACCTTTCATCCTATCCTTTTTCTTGGCCTTTTTTCCTGTGTGTTTGTTTGGGGAAAGAAACTGTGTTCTCTCTCTCTCTCTCTCTCTCTCTCTCTCTCTCTCTCTCTCTCTTTCTCTCTTCCTCCCTCTTCTCTAAGAAAATATGTTCTTTATTAGCAGTATCTATGTTTGCCTCCATCCCAGGCAGCCTTCAAAACTTTGCTTTTTGGGCAGAGTAAATTTTGTCCTTGTCTTAGGTGGCAAATGAACAAAGAGTCTTAGGCAAGAAGCATACTGTGGTGAAACAGGGCCCGGGACACACAATGGAGGATTTAATTTTCTCTTCTTTAGTAAGTCAAAAACATGCAACTAATTATATCCTTAGCTTCATCAAGAAGAGCCTGTTGGAATTCTCAGCATGTCTACTTCCTGAGGCTCCTTTGGCATTCTCACTTTTTCATATATTTTACAGGTCTGCTGTTGGTATGCAAATAGTTACTTCATAAGGTTGGTGTGGCATGCACTTAAAAAACAAACCTACTCTGCGGTAGCAGTGCGAGAAACTTTTAAGTATTCTGTTTATCTTCTCTCTAGACAAGGTTTGAATATCAAATGAGCCTGGAACCAATTAAGCAGACCTGCTGTTCATCCCTGAAGGATAATTCATGCACAAAAGAAAACAAGAATGAGCCCTGTGGGGCCCGTTTTGGAACAGCAATTGCTGCTGTAAAAGACCTCAACGTGGATGGATTTAATGACGTTGTGATTGGAGCCCCGCTGGAAGATGACCACGCAGGAGCTGTGTACATTTATCACGGCAGTGGCAAGACCATAAGGGAAGAGTATGCACAAGTAAGACACCAAGGTTTCTCGAGGGTTTCAGCCTTTCATGCCAAGTGGGCTCACCTGTCTTACTCTATAACTTATAATTTATTTATTTTTTTATTTATTCTGACTCTTTTGGGGAAACTACTTATGGTTTTCTCTCATGTCCTTTCTTAGAAAAACTAGCTAGCAGTTTATACCCTTATCTAGCTTCTTGTCTGTGGCCATTTGTCTGCCTTCTTGGACCATATCATGTGAAGTGGTAAAATAATAGCAAACAAATAACGCCTGGTAATAGGGTGAGTTGACAGCTACAGTGTTTTTAACTCTAAGAGTAAGAGGGCCATAATCGTGTGATGTAGTCAATAAAGGAGATTGTGGGTTTTTGTAGTCAGTGTTCATATTGTTATTGAGAAAAATCACATTAAATTTATTATTATGAATTAATATTATATATTTTCATCAAATGACTATGGGTTTCTGAGGTTTCTGATTTTTTTCTCAAGTCATACTTCTTGGAAAAATATGAGTGGTTAAGTTGACCTGCCCAGAATTTCTTTTGTTCTTGTTTTAAATTTATTGGCAGTTAGCAGTTCCACATTCAGTAACCTAATCTATAAATGTAATTTCTTAGTACATGAGAAAAATATTCACATAAATATTTAATACTCCATAAACACAAGAGAGTTGAGAGAGGTCATAATGGGGAGTTTTTAGATAATCATAAGCAATGAGCTATTGTGGAGAAATATCTTATATTTCAACACTTGCCTCAACACTCTCTAGTATCTAAACCATGAAGAGAATGAAGACTTTAGCTTTTCCTTTTTAGATTTCAGTGGTCTCTTTTATTTCTGTAGTCAACAGAACTCTTAAAACCTATTCATGTAAAATTTTGTAATGACATTAATAGGGAACAAAATAAAAGGCTTCTATAAGTCACAACATTCCTGTCCATTTGACAGATGATCTGTTTCTGTTAAGTCTTTGTAGGTTTTAAACTTAACTAATGGCAGGCAGAATTAACCATTGGAGCATCAGTGAACCAGAAAGGACACACAAAGAGGTGCCTTATATTCTATTGCTTTGTTCTTTCAGTATGAATCCTGCACGTTTAATGAATAGCCTTTGAAGCAAAGAAAGATTTTTTAAAAATGTTTAATGGAACAAATTGTCATAAGTGGTGCGTTTGGTTTAAAGTAGTGGTAAATCAAGACGCAGCTCTAAACTAAACGAACAAGACAGGGTTGGCATTAGGTTGTTTTCTTAGTGGAATATGCTTTGCCAGGGAACAGATGAAGATGCAATTAGCCATTTCCAGAAATGCGGAATGACCCAGTGTCAAGCAGCATCAGCTCCATCGGGGCTAACTAGGCTCGTAGCTCTTGATTTGTCTGCTGAAATATTATGGGAATATTAGTCAAGGGGACATATAATACTTCCACATCGCTTTTCTGTTATTTGACTTTTTCCTCTGTGTCACTTAAAAGGAATTGAGGAGGTAAAGAATACCCACAGCTTAGGAAAGGTCTGTTAGTTCTGTCTCCTTGCCAGCAGGTTCTATAGGATATTTTATGTTCGGACAAACAGTAAGCTACAAAGCATAGAAAGTTCACTTTCTGTATAAGTGAAGTGTATAGGTGAGCCTTCAAGAACTCCATCTTTACTGTGCCTTCCATACATTGAGGCCACCCTTGATGTGAGTGTCGATGAATCTTGTAGAACAATTGTTTGAACTATCCTATGCAATCATCTGTTCTTCTTCTTGCATCTATGGGATGTTTTCCAAGTTTCCAGTACTTTACATACATCTGCTTATTAGAATTAAAAAGGAGGCAGAAATAGAGCCCGTTATTCAGATTTCTCTTTAGTATTAGACAATATGATATTATCTATCAATTCTTTTTGTTTTGGAGTCAGTAGCCCTGACCTGACTCACCTGTGCTATAGGAAGAACTATTTCCTTTGGGAATAGTGCAGCATTTCCTCTTGCTTCCACTGATGGCCCTCTCAGTTCCCATAAGACCTTCTCTTTTCACTTTATTCACTAATCCAAATTCTCAGATTTATTCAGAACTACTTTGAATGGATTCTACTGATATTCAACCTTTCTCCTGTCTGTTGGGATTTTCACAGCGCATTGCATCAGGTGGAGATGGGAAGACGCTGAAATTTTTCGGCCAGTCTATCCACGGAGAGATGGATTTAAATGGTGATGGTCTGACTGACGTGACCATTGGAGGCCTTGGTGGAGCTGCCCTCTTCTGGTATGTATGTTAGAACATCTGGTTAAACTGGCTCTAGTTTCCATATAATTCCAGACCACACGATATGATTAGAACCCTTGACATACTAAATATCTATTTCCTCTCATGTTGTCTTGGCAAGATGCACATGATTCAATAGATTGAGGTATCAGTGACTCTTAAGAACAAAGAAGCTGAATAGGAATGGGTAGAAACAAGTCTCAATTTGGTTCTCAATCATGTACTCACAACTAAAACAGGTGTTCTCTTTTGGGGAAGTTGCATGGGTGGTGTCTTTAGAAGATATGTATTAATAAGATAATATTCCTCTGAGTTGTGTTTAATTTTGTAGAGATAATTTACTTCATTAGTTTACCTGAACCTTAGAAATTAATATATACCCTTTCATGGCCCAGGTCATAAGGACCAAGGCTTTGCACTACTGGAGAAGCAATTGCAACAGGATACAGAAGGCAGGTGGGTGAGGAGATGCAACCAGTGAACAGATAGCAAGAGTCTAGTGATGTAGACCAGATACCCATACATCCACAAAGATACAGTTGGGAAAGACAGAGAGAGTAGGATAGACATTAGTCAAGCTACTCTCCTACCTCGAGAATCCATATTGCCCAAGAGGAAGCTAGACAAACCCATCCATTGCTGGTGAGGAGTAAACTATCTAAAACTCACCAAGTGTGTGTCAAAAAGCATTTCAAAACCGCAGGATAGCCTTGCTTATTAAAGGATTTTGCTTTCTAAATCAATTTAAGTAAATATATCTTAACAAGTATGATCTTTAGAGCCTCCAGAGCACTGTATGCAGTGACCATTGTCTAATACAACAAGAGGGGCAAGGGAGATAGATGGCTCATTCAGTAAGGCTTGCCACACAGCATGAGGGCCTGGATGTGGATTCCTTCCACAGTCATTGGAAGAAACAGCTCTCACCTCAGAGGAGTTAAAGACATGGCTTATTTTGGAGCAAATATAAGTCTTGGGAATTCAAGTCATTTAACTCTCCCCTAATTGAATAGGTTCCGTGTGGAAGCAGTTTTGTGGAATTTTACAGTAACAGAACAAAGTCATAAATCAAGGTATCTCAGACTGGCAGTTACAGCAAAATGGAGGATCTCCCCTGTAGGCCTCAGATATTATCTGATGATATTCTTAGCCATTGGTTTGGCTTGAAGCTACTGGTCTTCAAAGTTAATAAATTCCAAGAGGGTTTTATCTTTCAGTTATGGAATGTGAGCTGTGAAACAGAGCTGAGCAAGGAATGGGTATTCAGGGGCTAAAACTAGGCCAAGGTAAGGTAATTAGGCTGAGGACTTATAGTATGGCAGCTTTTCCACACCATGGAAGCTTCAGTCAGACAGTCTTTGTGGACACAACTTCTTTCCAGGAATTCTCATCCTCACCGCCCACATTAAATAAGGCATGACAACAGGCACCTGGTACCCTGGGGCAGGAGAGGTGGGCAAACAGGAATGCCTTGGTTCACTGGCTAAACAGCCTAGCTGAATCAGTGAACTCTCTGTCCAAAGAAAGACTGTTTTCAGACAAAGAGCAACTGCAATTGATAAAGGAAGATCCTAACACCAACTGCTGCTCTCCACATGCACATGGATGCATACAAGGAGAAAATAAAAACAGAAAAGAAATCTAATAAAGGCAAATAAATGCAACAAGGTGTATGCATTTGCTGATATAGTAGACCACCATTATACTGTAAAGCTGGATGCTCAGGACAGTGGATGGTTCACACCACAGGCAGACAATGGGAACATTAAAGGTTTTATCATACTACTTGAGACAGTACATAATTTAAGACATGACTGTTTTCTTCCTGGTGTTTTCCGTTTAATATATTTTGCATCCCGGTTACCCACAAATACCTGAAACTGTGGGAGGCAAGGCCAGGGATAAGGACTGGGGACTGCAGTGTTTCTAATGATTAAAGTAACTTGGAAGTTACATGAAACGGTGTACACTGTCAGTGTTTCAAACATAATTCTCCCAGTAAACAAAAGCAAGGCTGCATCGTCAAGAACAGAGAAGTGTGGGGCTGGAGAGATGGTTCAGAGGTTAAGAGCACTGACTGTTCTTCCAGAGGTCCTGAGTTAAATTCCCAGCAACCACATGGTGGCTCACAAGCATCTGATGCCCTCTTCTGGCGTGTCTGAAGACAGAAACAGTGTACTCACATACATACAATAAATAAATCTTAAAAAAAAGAAAAAGAAAAGAAACAGAGAAGTTTTAGAGTTTTAGTGGAAGACAGGGGCTGGAGGGACAACTAGTTTTCTAGATGCCTTTGAACCATTTCCAAATTGAAAACTAACTCACAGATCCCCAAATGCTATTTTAATTCTGAGCTTGCACCTGGCCACTTGGTGCAAGTCTTCCGACTTTGAACTAAACATCTAAGACAGTTCTAAACATCAAGGGTCTCCTAGTACATGAGATAGAATCTTTTCTGTATCAAACAATCATCACAGAACAATAGTCCTGAGAGCACATATAATAGACAAAGGAGAGTGTCCTCCGATGCACTCGCATTACCCTAGCAAGTTAAATGCAACAGTGTGCGAGTAATTCCATTGTTTATGTGTTTGCAGGGCCAGAGATGTGGCTGTAGTTAAAGTGACCATAAATTTTGAACCCAATAAAGTGAATATTCAAAAGAAAAACTGCCGTGTGGAGGGCAAAGAAACAGTATGCATAAATGCTACAATATGTTTTCATGTGAAATTGAAGTCAAAAGAAGACTCGATTTATGAGGCTGGTAAGCATTATGGTTGTAGTGTGCACTTTCAGGCAGCAGGGAATGCAATGGCTCCAGGCTGCAGGCCTCTCTCAAGCATAATAAACTGCTCATGATATTTGTCCAGTGAATGTGTCCACCCTTGACACCACTCCTGCTCTGGGAGGAACAATGATGGAGCCTAGTCAACGCCACAGCAGAAATTACATATTTGAACACAATGACTTCAAAATTCCATGTTTTCCTGTGCTTCTCCATATGTTTATTTAATAAACACTCACTGGTAGCATTTAACAATGTTCTATAAACCAGATTTTTCAAGTGAGAATCGTTTCCCTTCTACTGCCCTCTTCTGGGAAAGTCTGGTATTGCAGATGACCTGACTAAAGAGACAAACACCCCTGCCTCCCCACCTCTCCACCCACAGCCCTGATCACAGTGTTCTTTTCCCACTGAGATCAGGCTTCCATTTTTAGCCAGACATGTGTGGGGGCCCTGGATGTGTTGTGTCAACCTGTATGTCTCCTCTGCCTTATGTTCTGAGCTTTCTAAGGCTATTTTCAGTGATGTTGAAATATGTTGGGGTCAAATTGTGAGGGCCATTGCTACAGAAGAGTGATTTACTCCACAAATAAAATACAAGGTCAATAAGGAAACTCACTCATCTTTAAAATTAAATTATCTTAAATTTCTCTGGTTGTGTCTCTCTAATAGTCCTTTGACTCAGAGGCAAATGAAATGCAGAGACAGGCCATAAAGACTTAGGTTTTCGTAGGCAAAACTATTTTGTATTTTTTAATGAAGCACTTAAAGGAGAATTGTTGTCCTCTTGTAAAGAAAAATGACTCACTCACGTTCTTTACTGTGGCTTGCTTATTTTTATGGAATTTCCTAGTGGTTTGGTGCATAATCTAAGTTGACATGTTTCTACAAAACGATAAAAATGGTCCGTGTTTATTTTCATTTCTACTGAAATTAATTTGAAGTCAATCAATATTTCAGGCAGCTTCCCAGTAGTTCTAAACTATAAAAATTATTTAAAACAAAAATTTAGTAAATGCAGACTTAGTTAATAAATCAGAGTCCACATGTATGTCTATGTGTGTATAAGTATATTACACATAACTATAACTTAAATGTTCAATGCATGGGTAAGTCAGAGAGACATTCTATAGACTCCCGCAGGGTTATGCCCATGAGGGCTTCTATCTCTGTGTTGTAGCAATATAGGTATTCTCAATGTAGGGTCTCCTACCAACTGATTTGCTCAAGCTTTTTTCTTGCTAACTCACCACCTTGGATCAGGTGAATGTCTGCCATTTTTTCTTCCATCTTTGTAGATCTGCAGTACCGTGTCACCCTTGATTCGCTGAGGCAGATAGCACGGAGCTTTTTTTCTGGAACTCAGGAAAGGAGGATTCAAAGAAACATCACCGTCAGAGAATCCAAATGCATCCGGCACTCCTTCTACATGTTGGCAAGTAAATCGTGTGTTACAGCTGCTTTCCTCCAAACTGCGAGTGTAGTGTGAGCGTGTGGGTAGTTATCCCTCCTCTTTGGTAATTCAGAACTGAGAACCAATGAGTTAGGACCTGTATAAAATTTGATGAGCATCAGAGAGATCTGGCTCCAGGCTGCTGACAGTGACTACAGCCATAAGTACAAGGTCAATGTGTTAGTTCTGTCCAAGGACCAATGACAAAAGGAATCGCCTAGTTTCAAATGTTACAAAATCTCTTTGCATTATATTGGCTATTTTAACATTTTGTCTGGAGCTGACTGGGTTGGAGGGGGCAGAGAATTCATTTAGTCCCAGAGGCTCAGAATAAAATAAAAATTGTCAAAGGGTTACTGAGATAGTTCATAGAAGTGTGTATAGAAAACATTGTTTTTAATGCTACAAACAATGGTTCTTACTGAAATGAAAAGTATGAATCATATTCCCAGCATTTCCATGTTAGTATGCACTGAAAAATTCCATAGGTTTAGATGTACATGGGTGAAATACTCATTTGAAGAGTTTGCCCTTCTTAAAGTGAGCCACTTTCCCAGAAGTACTGGGAACTGATGACTGGCACCAGGTCTCAAGAGCAACAATGTTTTTGATGTACAGCTCAGGTGGTATATCCAGGCAGGCAAGATATCAGCTCCCTCTGTGGAGCTCTAGGGGAGCTCCCTGTCATAGTCTAGAGCCTCCACTTTCCCTATCACCCCTCTCAAACAGGAAGGCCATGGTACACCACTTCAGTGAAGCAAGGGCCAGCTGAAGTGTGATATCTAGTTAGGTTCACGACGGGAATGTTCCAGTATGCCACAGAGGCAGAAGGATGCCATGACAGAGTCATAACTTCCAGTGAATATGACAGCAGTGACGAGTGTTGTTTCAACTTGTAGGATAAGCATGACTTTCAGGACTCCGTGAGAGTGACTTTGGATTTTAATCTCACTGATCCAGAAAGCGGGCCTGTGCTTGATGACGCTCTACCAAACTCAGTCCATGAACACGTAAGCTTAATTTACAATGTCTCTTTGTGAATGTATTAGGGAAACTAAAAACACACAGACACATAATTTAAACCAATTGTGTGTGAGAGAAAGAGGAGAGACAAAAAGACAGACAGAGAGTGATTCAGACCACTCTAGACTTCTTCCAGCCCCTCCAACTTCCTCTTGCTTGGGTTTTAGGAAACCATAAACAATTAAAAACCATAGAAAAGATGTTTATCCTAACAAGCACTAAGCTATGAGTCATAGTGTAGCGATAATGGATGTGCTTATGCTGGACCACATACCTGGACACAGCTAACCACTAGTCAGCGGTTCCTGTGCTGTAATGGAGGCCTGTGATCTAAAGCTTGTGTCTCAGTTACTGTCCTATTGCTGTGAAAGAAACATCAGGACCAAGATGACTCTTATAAAAGAAATCATTTAATTGAGGGCTCTGTTACAGTGTTAGAGAGTTAGTCTATGATCATCATGGTAGGAAACAGAGAGGCTTGGCACTAAAGTAGTAGCTAAGGAGAGAGAGGAAGGGTGGAGAGAGAGAGAGAGAGAGAGAGAGAGAGAGAGAGAGAGAGAGAGAGAGAGAGAGAGAGAGAGTGAGTCAGTCGTCACTGGGCTTGGCTAGGGCTTTTGGAACCTCAAAGACCACCCCCAAGTAACAAAGACCTCCTCCAGCAAGGCCACACCTCCTGATCTATCGCAAACAGTTCCTCTAACTGAGGAGCAGACATTGAGCTATGGGAGCCTATGGGAGCCATCCTCACTCAAACCAGCACAGGTTGCAACAGGAAGGAGCAGAGCAGCACACGTGCCTCGTGTGGGCACAACGCTATCCCAAGAACAAAAGAGATAGGAAGGGGGTGTCTCTGCTCTGTTCCCAAACTCAAAGTTCACTGCTACACATCTGAGAGTGAGTGAGAGGACAGAGAGGGAAAGGGCATCACAACAACAGCCACAACGGAGAAAAAGTATAGGGGCAGAGTCCTCATTCGTCCACCTATCGTCTTACATGGAGCTCAGTCTCCCCTAGAAATTGTTCCTTCGGCAAGAATTAAATGCTGTGCTGTGAAGAATTTCAGATTTTGCAATACTTTCTATGTAGTCTGGGGTGTCAGAGGAAGCTGCACGTGATCGAGTCCTTGCAAGACTGGATGGCTTTGTTTACAGTGTGTGTCAGTGGTGGTGCCTGTGAAGATGCTAAGCCCACAGCACAGAGGGGAAGTGGATATAGCATACAGCTAGACTCAAAAGGCCAGAGTGAAATCCTTGGGGATTGGTGCCACTATCCAGACTACAGACATTTTAAAGGGCAACGTTGTGCTGTTGACTTAATTTAACTCAGTGGGTACCAGACAGAAGCTGTTTAAAGACTACATCTGCTACAATATGACAAATAACTGAAGGAGAAACTGGTGCTGGACACCAGTACAAGGAACTTCGTTAATGGATAGAGGGGATGGAGAGGTGACAGGGGACGTGGAAGATATGGAAAGGAGGCTAGGATGCGCATGCGTGATGATAGACTGAATAAGCGGGGGAGGGGTGGAATTTAAAAAGAAGAATCAAGTGACATTTCCAGATACATGGCTGGATCACTTCCCTTCCTCTTGACAGGCTTCCCCAACACCTCTTAAAAAGAAAAAAAAAAAAAAAAACTAGGAAATCATAGAAACGAAGTCGTGTAGATTTAGAGTTTAGAGTTCTTGACTTGAACTTGAACTGTCCTTCATTGGGAAGCAGATACTAGCATACAAGATCTATGAGAACTACCTCCTTTAAAGGCCTTAGAAATTAAGAGTACAAGTCGACATTTATTCTTTTCCCCATAAAACCAACAGTAAATATAGCCTCCCTTAAGATCTCAGCAATACAATCAATTTTCTCATTGAGCTGTCTCTCTGACTTGGGTGTCATACCATTTCTGTATCACAGATTAATAGATAACTTTCAGTGATGTTTACCTAAGCTATGACTACCATGTTCCTGTCACCTATTTCAGATTCCTTTTGCCAAAGACTGTGGAAACAAGGAAAGATGCATTTCAGACCTCACCCTGGATGTGTCCACCACAGAAAAGAGCCTCCTGATTGTCAGGTCCCAGAGTGACAAGTTGAATGTCAGCCTCACAGTCAGAAACAAAGGTGACAGTGCATATAATACCAGGACAGTGGTGCAGTATTCTCCAAATCTGATTTTTTCAGGAATTGAGGTAAGCATACTGTCTCTCACTCATTCTCTTAGTGACTATTTGTTGGACCTACTTTTCATGCTACTGAGCTAATTAATTTCATAAGATTGGTTTGAGCACAGAAGAGAGCTGTTTCGTTAATATTAGAATACACTAGTGGTCACAGTTGCAAGCTTTTAAGATATCTAAAAACTTTTGTTAATTTATTTTATGCATAGCAGTATTGTACCTAAAAGCTAAGAGAGGATATTGGATCCATGAACTAGAGTCACAGACCACTGTGAGCAGCCACATGAGTGATTGGAATTGAGCTCGATTCTTCTGGAAGAACAATCTAGCATGGCCAGTGCTTTTAGCCACTGAGCCATCTCACCAGTCCTCATCCCCACTACGCTTTGGTTTTTAAAGCTTACGTTATTTTTTTTTCATATCTCTTCTCAGACTTTGTATTTTAAAAAAGACAGCTGATAGTATAAACTTCTGTGTTTCACAGAGTCATCAAGCCACTGAATTAAGATTCAGCCAGGAAAAAAAAATAATCAAAGTTAAAACCATTAACAGAGACAGAGAGAGGAGTTCATGTGTTGGAAGTAAAGTCTCCATTGAGAAAATCAAGATACTATTTCTTTCTTCCTATGAGAAAATCCTTACTTTAGACAAGGATTTCAGTTAGACATGTGTTGTTTATTAATAATGAAAAGGTTCTATTTGGCAATAACATAACTGTATATCAGACATTTTATTAATTTGACAATAATCCCCTTCATAGGATACTGGAGCATTTGTCAGTATTTCTACATTTGAACTTAGCTTTTGATTCTGATTCTCAAATGCATCTCCCAAGTTAAAATTCTTTATATATTTATATGAATAGATTTGAAATATTTTGATTCACATTAATGCTAATATGAATATTTTTATTTATATTAAAAACTAATACCTTTAGGTTTAGGAATGTAGTGAAATTATGGAAAACTTCTTAGTCTGTGTGAGACACTGGGTTAAATAATATGCATATATACACATACATAGTATTAAGGCATTGTTGTCTAGTTTCTATACATTTAAATTGTTACTGTTATTTCACTCCATTTGTTTCGATATCATTTGGACACATGATAACTACAATAGATTCATATAAGGATCATTTGTTACTATAACATATTTTGTTTTCAGAATATTATAAATATGAAATAATTGTAGAAATACAAAATGTAAGTGTAATGGGAAGAAACACTAATTATCACCTGATTGTCTCTGGAAAGGAAACTATGTTGAAAGGCATTGCCTGTATTCTCTCCTGCTGGCTTTCTGGCCGTGGCAGAGGGGCAGGAATACTCATTGTTGACTGCTGGTAATTCAAGGATGTCCTTGTCCTGTATTAAGGCCTCTCTTTAGTTGTATGTGCTATGTGGAATCAGGAGGTGAGTCCTAGTGGTTGCAGATTAGAGCCTCGATCTTGTTGAGGACTCCAGACTCCTGGCCTGGTGTGATGCTCTGATGGTGCAGACGTGAGGGTTAGCATCCACCACTGCAGCTTCCTGAGCATGGTGCCTGCAGTACTGTTTCCCTTATTCCTGCAGGACAAGCGTGCTTTGTCCCGTGAGCGCCCTCAAGTGTTGATTTCAGATCTCCGTGAAATGCGGAATAGGCTATGACTCTCCTCAAGGGTCTTGGCAAAGTAGTTCCTCACGCATAGCTGGAAAAATTCTAAAAAGATGAACGTAACTACTTCGCCTGCATTTCTTTTCTGAATCTGTTTATTTTTTTTTCATTTTAGGGGATCCAAAAAGATAGCTGTGAATCCAATCAAAATATCACTTGTAGAGTTGGATATCCTTTCCTGAGGACAGAAGAAATGGTGAGGAGCCTGAGTAAAACCCAAGTAACCATTGCCAATGAGAAGTGATATGCTCAAAGCCAAATGTGTAAATCCTAACGGAATGGTTCTCAACCTTCCTAGTACTGTGACGCTTGATCACAGTTCTTCATGTTGTGATGACCCCCAATCATAAAAGTCTTTTTGTTACTACGTCATAACTGTGATTTTGCTACTGTCATGAGTTGTAATGTAAATATCTGTTATGCAGGATATCTGATATGCAATCCCTATGAAAGGGTCATCTGATCCTCAAAGGGGTCACGACCCAAGGGTTGAGAACTGCTTCTTTAAGGGATAATTTATGACGATAAGCATTGAATGCAAAGCTTGCAGCCTGTATTTGATATTTTTGCATCTCTCTAAAATATGCAGATCGAAATTTAATCCCTAATATGATAGCATTAGGAAGTGGTGACTTTGGGACTGGTGCCTTCACAAAAGAGGCTCAAGCGGATTTCTTTACCCCATCTATCATACAATGCACACTGTCTCCAGAGAGCAGGACAATGCACACTGTCTCCAGAGAGCAGGACAATGCACACTGTCTCCAGAGAGCAGGAGACCATAGCACTCCAATCTTCTGGTGCTTTCATCTTGGAGTTCCCAGACTCCAGAGCTGTTAGAAGGAACCCTTCACTGTTTCTAAGTGAATTAACAGTCTAAGTTATTTTGTTACAGAACCTCAGGAAGACAAGACATAGTTAAAAGCTAAGTGATTTGTATGTCACATTCAAACAAAAAGGCTAAATATATAGCAGATAACATTTTACATTCCTGCCAGTAGTGAATGAAAGCTCCGATTATTATTATTGTTGTTGTTGTTACTATTATTAATTATTATCATATAGCTCTGGTGGATGTGAAGCAATGTTTTACTGTAACTTGGATTTGCATTTCCCTAACAGCAAGAAGTGATGATGTTTTGAGTAATTTTTCACACATATACACATGCACATATGCACATATGCTTGAAACCACAGTCTTTGGAGGAATATATGCTGCAGTCCTTTTTTTATTAAGACGAGAGGGGGTCCTCACTTTGAGCCCAGGCTAGCCCATGATGTGACAAACTCCCAGCAATCCTCCTTTCTCTGCTTCTTAAGCACTAGAATTCCAGGTGTGAGCTAGGAATTCCAGGATTCCACATTCCATTCTTTACCTGTTTTTTCAGTCAGGCTGTCATTTGTACTATTACATTGTAGGAGTTCTTCAAATAGCCTGTACGACTTTTAGTTTCTTTCCAAGAATTTTATGATTTTTGCTCTTACACCTAAGTCTCTGATCCATGTGGAAAACTTCTAGCTTATGTGTCCTGAGCAAAGCCCAACTTACACTTGCATCTGAATACACAGTTGCTCTGCCCCATTTGAGGAAGGCACTGGAATTAAATATTTCCTTCTCTTCCAGAAGTCCCTTTTGCTTGGGATAAAAGTTTACATCAAAATATCTCGTAGGTTATAAAAGGGGTGATGGGAAGGATTTGTAAGCAATCTCAACTTGGGTTTCACATCTAGAATATTCTTGGGTTCCAGGTCTAGACTCTCAGCTTAAGTATTTCAGGATCCTTTGAATATACAGGAAGCAGCCCCCTCAGGCCTGTTTCTCTGCCAGCATCTTCCTGTAGACACAGAGGCCTGGAGAATGACAAGACTCAAGTGTCTAGGCTAGATGTGGAGGTTAAGGAGAGATAGGAAACTCCATCCAATAATGGGCTGCCACCCCTTTGGGGGTTGAATAATCGTTTCATACAGTACACATATCAGATACCCTGCCTATCAGATATTTATGTTATGATTCAAAACAGTAGCAAAATTACAGCTATGAAGTAGCAATAAAAATAATTTTGGGTTGGGGTCACCACAATATGAGACCATAGCATTAGGAAGGCTGAGAATCACTGATGTACTAGACTAAAGATCAATACTCCAATGCAAGGAAAAAACAACTTTCTTAAAAGACTTTTATTTCATTTTTCAATCTAAATTAAGGTTGTGTATGGAAGAGAAGAAAACAAACAATATTTTCCACATGTACTATGATACAGCCATGCTAATCTCACGACCCTTAAAGGTCCCTGCCACCCCATCTGTGAACAGCACCAATTGTTCACAAGCTGTAAATGTCATAACTTTTCTATCTAACATTTAACATAAAGATATTGTTGTAGGTGATTTCCATTAGGTATTTATGGAAAGTTTTTCAGGCCCAAATTTTAAATATTTCAATTAGCACAAAATAAAATTAGTTTTGATACTGAGAAATACAATTTCATAAGCATTATGATGAGATCATTAGACAAGAACATGCAGCTTATCTCTGATTTAAAAAAACTACACTTTAGTATAATTTGTGTCATTCATATACAGCTCGTGTGTAGGCAGAGCTTCTTAAACAAGAGCTGTCTGTGTGTGACACTTGTACAGTAACACTTTCTGTTGATGCTTAAATACTGTTTTACTTATGCAAACTCTTACAAACAAAACTCAATGTTTTTTCAAAATACTTTATTCAGAAGAACTAAGCTACTTTGTATTATCTTCTTACACTATGCTGTAGTGATCCCAAAAAAATTTACTACCAAATTAACAAATCAAATGTTTTCCTTGTTTTATTATGGTGGATTTTCTGAATTAAAGAGACTCTAATTATTAATATGCCACACTTATGTTCATTACTCTTACCTGGAAAGTTGTGGAGATAAAATAAGTAGAATAGTTCTTCTTGTTTGTGGTTTGCATACATGCTTTTTGTTACTATGACTTAAATAAGGCATTTAAATTCAATGTTGCATGTGTCTTGATACATTTAGGCTGCTATAAAAGTAGCTGGAATGGAACAGAACATGGATGAGAAGTTTATTTCTCAGAGATATGAAAGAAAAAAAAAAACAAGATCAAGACAATGTCAGGCCCAGTGTCTGAAAAAGACACACTTTTTGATCCAAAGGCATCTTCTTCCTGCATCCTCTGGGGGCAGGAAAGGAGGTTTCTGGTACCTTTTGCACAAGGACATTAATTCCACTCCTGTGGATGCTCAAGACCTGTTATCTACCAAAAGGACTGACCCTCTCATATCGTAACATTAGTGACTAAACTTGAACATACAAACTTTGAATGAATAATGCATTCATACCATAGTAATATGCAAAGCATATTACATATTCACCTTTAGAAGTAGGTATGCATATCATATTTTATTGTATGTATTTATGGTGAGGTTGTACTTTATAAGTGTTTTTTAGGTAATTTTATAATTTCTATTTAGGCAGTGAATTTATATAAACTGTGTTTTACTGAAAGTTGATATTTTCCTCATCTGTTACTTAAGATATATCTTAATTTCATAGGTTACCTTCAAAATAATATTCCAGTTTAATACATCGCATCTCTCAGAAAATGCAATCATCCATTTAAGTGCAACAAGGTTGGTTTGTATGTGTGTGAAGAACATATTCGTATTTGTGTATGTCATGTCTTTCATGTACTTGGGTTATTTAACTTTGTAGAGTCACTGGCAGCGTCTTGAAGCTTGTGTAAGATCAGCAGAAGTTAACGATCCACGGACCACTTTGCTTCACAAAAAAATAACATGAGGGTAATTAGCAAAAGTAGAAGAATTCTTACTCAAACCAAATAAAATCATTGATAAGACTGACCATAGACTATCTTGTAATTGCACATCACTCTTATCTGTCAAATGTTATAGCATTTGTGGCTAGCAGAATCTACTAATTTTAAACATTTGCTAGCCATCAATCAAGGTCAACTGAATACTCACATGGTCTTCAAATTTTATGGTACCTTTTTATACTTCAATAAATTTTACTCAAATCATTCAAAACTTTTCAACATCATCACAGAACTCATGAGAGAAAATGGGCCGCTAAGTCAACAGAAGCAAAGCTCATATGAGCTCATAGAGACATAGGCAGCATGCACAGGGCCTGCATGGGTCTGCACCAGGTCCTCAGTGTATTTATTATGGCTTCTAGTTTAGTGTTTTTATGGGGTTCTTGAGTGTGCGAATGAGTGGGTCTCTGGTTCTTGTGCCTTCTCTTGGGCTTTCCCTTCTGTTTGTTTGTCTTGTGCAACCCTGATGTGTTCATTTTTATTTTATTATATTTTATTATTATCTCTTAGAATGCTTTTTTCTAATGAGAGACAGAAATATAGTGGATCCAGATGGGACGGGGGTTGTGGGGAGGAACTGAGAGGAGTAGCGGGAGGAGAAACTACAGTCACAACATACTATGTGAGGAAACAATTTATTAAATCTATGCTTCTCTCATGCAATGCATCTATTTTACATAAAATAGATATAATAATAAATAAAGGGGAAAATAAATTCAAAAAAGAAAATTAGGTATTGGCCTTGAACAAAAGCATTTGTTTGTTTATTAGCTAAGTTTAATTCATCCTGGTTAAATAAAGACTATACTACATATGTTTTTTAAAAGTGGCAAAAGATGAATACAGAACTTGAAGGGGATTTTAGCTTCCTGCTCTGTATAGTTTTCCACCAGAACAAATACTGTGAGGTCAAGCGGCTTTGCCTATAGCACCCACCATGCTTCCTGTTGATAATCATTATAAAGATGGAAAATAATTAACAAGTAATAAAGTGAATTAATGGATAAATTAATTCAATCAAATCAGTTTAGCTCAGCATCTATTTATTTGACATCTACTGTAGAAAATTTAATGATAAGATATCCATTTTGTAGATAGAAAAACCAAGGCAGAAAAAGAGTAAATAACTCAATGTGAAGCTCAAGAACAACTGCATTCCCCATTATCTGGCCATATAAGTTATATTTTTCCTCCATTCTTTGTTCATGAGTATATGGGGCATATTTGTGTTTAATGTATATGTGTGTATAGATATAATTAAAATTTCAAATATTATGACAGTTACACCCAAATCAAGGAATACTTAAAAATGTAAACAACAGGCATACTGAGTACTCAGCTAGAAAAGACTACTAAAGGCAGCATAAGATGTTAGATTTACAATTAGCTGTATGTGCCTAGTTGAGTCTCTCTCTGTACAAGGACTTCATACATGATAAAGACAAACTAAGGTGATTTGTGTCAAAATCTTTATGCCACAGAATTCCAGCAGTCTCAGCATTTTAATGATTAAGCCTGCAGATTATATTATTTCAGACAATGAAGATACACATAGTCTAAATGAGTGTGGTTTTCAATTCTAAATCAACAGCTCAGGAACGTTAGGCATGCCCAGCTCCAGTCTTCCCTCTCCTCTCGGTAAAAACAAACCAAGAATGCTACAAGTTTGTATTTTATTAAGTTGCCAATATAATCTCTTTCAAGTGCATAGAGATGGTGTGTGAATAAGCAAATTTAACGGTGAGTGTGACTGTGCTGTTTTCCAGTGACAGTGAGGAGCCAGTGGAATCTCTTTATGATAATGAAGTAAATATTTCCATCCCAGTAAAATATGAAGTCGGACTGCAGTTTTACAGGTAGGCTGAAGCCACCTTTATTCATTGTCAGCTTCCTGATCACCCAAGGGTTCTGCTAGTGTGGTCCCTGGCTGAGAGCATCACCTCTCAGATACTTAAAGGGGCAGGCACTCTAGTATTGCTTCAGAGCTGCCAAGTACAAAATTCTGGTGTGGTGCCCAGCATCCATATTAAATGTCTCCTGTATAATCCACATGCACCCTAATATTTGAGTACCTGTGTGCACTAAATATTGAAATACAGTGTGTGAATGACAGGGCTTATCTCCTATTTAGTAGCAGCTTAGCAAGCCAAAATCCTTGACAAAATGCAATGTTTTCTGACGGGTCAGCAGCATACTTCTGGTCACTGCTCTTCCTCAACCTGTGGGCATGGGATCCACCTGCCCAGTCTGTCACACGCAGCTGAAGCTTTTCTCATTGGTCAGCCATTAGTTTCTTCCATTATCAAGAAACCACTCTTTCCGTTCAGAACTTATTTTCCATTCAAATACCAGCCATGTTTGTAAACTTCTACTCCATAGAGTCCCATGGTTATGAATTCCCTTACTGGAGCAGAACTGCAAGCTTTTCTGTATAAATTTGTGCAATGTGTATACAAATACGAGAGACATCGCCAAGGTCAGCCTAGTCTAATAGTCTCGTTTCTTAAGGCACTTTTTCTTTGCTGAGGAGAGATCGGAAAGCACGGGTCATAGGCTAGGCACTTAGACTCACTTATATGTCTTTGCCTTTGAAGTCTGTTGCCTGTTGTCTGACTTGCTGCATCCGCTTCTGTCAGCACAAAGATTTTTTCCCAACAGTTTTCCACTTAATTCAAATCAATTTTTGGCACACATTTATAAATATCTTTTATTTGTCTTCTCTTGGCTGAAGTGCTGCTTTGAGGGACAGTCTTAAATTCTATCAGGGTCATCCAAGGACTGCAACATTTAGGAAAATTGAGCTTTTCCATCTAGCAGTAACAGTTATTTTTAAATTGTATAAATGTAATTTTTTTTAAAAAAAACTAGTTTTGTTTCAATTCACCACTACTAAATATATCAAAATTTAGTCTGATTTTTCTCTAAATTTAATTCTAAATTCATAGAAACTGCTCACTTGTTAACAGTGAAATTACATTTTGAAAGTTACATACAATTTAACATATCGGGCTCTAGTAAGCAACCGTGACTACTGAATTAAGTGATTCTTACCTTCCACAAATATTTAATTGAGGTTTGGGGGTAAAAGAATCACTCTCTGTTTTGAACTCTGCAAATATTTTTATAGAATTGTATAATATAGGGAAAGAAAAGAATAGAGTCAAATAATATTAATGTTACTGTGTTTTATTTTTATTTCTCCAATTAATTCTTCTAAGTTCTGCGAGTGAGCATCACATCTCAGTTGCTGCCAATGAGACGATCCCTGAGCTTATTAATTCCACTGAGGACATTGGGAATGAAATTAATGTCTTCTATACGGTAAGAAACCACTTCTACGTATCTAAATAAATTATCAATATTAGGAAAACAAGAAGGTGTTTCAACATTTGCTCCTAGCATGTTTTTCTTTGTAATTTAACTGTGTTAGAATATTTTGTCAAAATGATAATCACTTCTTGACCTTTAGGCTAAGATTAAGTGCAAACTGGTCATTATACTTTGAGTCAATTTTAATAGCCAAGATTCTAATTTCCTTATAGTAAGGCACACTAACTTAGAATAACTTCCTAGAAAGAAAATCACTCTGGTATCAAATAGATATTATGAACACAATGTATATATACTTTACTATTAGTTTTAGTATAGCCAAGAAAATCATGTTTCACAGAATCATGGTAATTTCAGAAATGAATTATTTCAAAACCCTTTGGGGACTAGTTTCCTTTATTTAGTGAATCACTATTTCTTTTCTCTCTATTGCTTTCATATGATTTAGGTGGTAAATTACTAACGTTAGCACCACAACCTCCTTAAGTGATATTTTCTGCTACCTTTTTTTTTTTTTTTGTCATTTTCAGTTCTTTATTGCAAATGTTACCTAAGTTCTAGAGCAGGCTGTCACGAAGTTTTACTCTGGGTAACCCTTATAGACTCAGTATTATTCAAGAAGAAAAGGGCATCCAATTCAAACGAATGCTTTATGTATATATGCCACCAAGTGATTCAATACCATCATAAATGAAGGCAGCCTTAACCTTTTGGGGCGTTGTCAGCAATGAAGAATGAAATTCTCATACAAAATGAGAACAAATTCACACTCTTGAGAGGAATCTGTATGATCTGCTGAAATTCCTGTGATAAGCTAGCTACATTCTGGAAATTAGCATGAACCCCATCTCCCTGCTCAATTCTGTAATATGATTTTGTAATTCAGACTCTTTGGCTACTGTGTCATAACAAGCAAAAAGAATGAAGAGGAAAAAAAACACTCTAATGTTGCAGTTCTTCATACATTGTAACTTATTAGGCTCCAGCTTTGAGATAGGAGATCCCTATTACAAATAATGTTAACAAAAATAATAACATAGTGTATCTCTGGTAGTTTTGCTGGAGACCTGCCATCACTGTCTGGGCAAGACAGATCCCTACTGTCAAAACTAACTCTATAATAAATTAGTTGGATAAAATAAAGCAACATATTTAGGTGAGACCTAGTGATTTACTATTGATAATTTTCCCTAAGAAATTACTAATGATTAAAAAAAATTAGCAATGCTCTTATAAAGTGCTTAAATTTTTAACTCTTAACACTATGAAATTACTTAAATAAACTGTCATTCATTTGGTGAAGACAATGTTATGTATTAAATGGGACGACAATATATTATAATATTTTAGCTACATTTGCTATTTATCAGTTCTCCATTCTTATCCGGCTTTCTGTTGTTTTCCCATTGCTGCTCATAAACAAAAAAGAGATAAGAGAATCTAAGTCATAGAGATAAAAGCCAAGGCAACACTGCAAGCCAGATGATTAGCACAGCAAGTTCCACATAGGTGACAAGTGCTGAAAGATAAACTCAGTGCTTATTGTTTAGCTGCTAGAGGCTTATCCTCAACTAATCAGTGTGGCTTTGGGAAGAAGTGTAACAGATTTAATGAACACAAGAAGTTTTGTTTTTGTGTATATCATATATAAATGTTATGACATAATACGTATAAATAATAAAGACAATTAGCTCACACAGTAAAATGCTACTAAGGTGGGTGGATGTAGGAGACTTTGGTTTTTTCTGCTTATTTTCATCATTTTTCAGTGGTTTCAGAAAGATTTCTTCTTAGTAAGAAAAAATGATGACTCAGAATATATAATCCTGACTGAATGTCAGAAGAAGAGAGCATGCAAGTGAACGGCTGTGCCAGCCATGCCCTGGGTGTCTTACACTACCATGGTTGCGGACCATGTTCTTATGGAAGAGGCCAGGCATAGTCAGGAATCTCCATAGTTCCAAGGCTGAAGAATGACTTAACCTTCAGTAATCATTGAGGATCATTGCAAGCTAAGTAGCTCTCCACATAGGAGGCTTTATTAGCTAGGCAGTCCTGGAATTTGCTGGTGAACATTCAAGAGTTCCCATAAAGCTAAATAATTATTCCAGAGGAGCCATTAATGTGTATGTCCTGGAGATCATACTTGTATGGTAGCCGGAGGGTGCACTGCGTCTAGGGACATCAATTGGCGATTCTGAGTTAGTAGATACAAAACACATTAGAAACTAAGGTGGAAGTCAATCTGCTCATCATACCGGGTTATCAATAACCCGTGAGATAGTATCACTAGCTTGTGATACAATTATGAAAGGAGGACAGTATATATCTATCTTACCCAAACAGTGATGGCAGGTCTCAAGTAGCTGAGGCTAGAGATGATTTAGGGCTTTAGGACATGGCAATTAGCTAGGTTAAAGCAACCAAAAATGTGCTAAGTTTTTCTTGTGTGGATCAAGTAAATGATCTCCACCTCCAGAATCTCTGGATAGAAGCTTAGGAGAATCCTTGGTGGGCAAGAACACTCTCTGTGCAAGCATAAGGCCCTGAGTTCCGATCTCAAACACTTAAGTTAAAAAGAAAGAAAGAAAGAAAGAA